CAGCCGGGCATGGTAGTGCATGCCTGTAATTCCGGCTGCTTGGAAGGCTGAGGCGGAAGGCTGAGGCGGAAGGATCGCCGGAGCCCGGCAGGTTGAGCTGCGGTGGCCGGAGCGGCCACTGCACTCCAGTCTGGGCGACAGAGTGAGACTCCAACTCAAAAAAAAACCAAAAAAAAACAAGGTGGCCGAACCAGCACCCTTCTCTCTGATCTCTGAAATACTGCAGTACAAACCAGGAGGGCACGCTGAGTTGTTGACTTCTGAACAGAAACCCAAGGCATTGGCATCAGGACATCTCAGGTTTGGCTCCAGGGTTCCAAACACACACAGCTGCCATCTGAATGCAGTCGTGGGCCTGCCTGCTGTAGGCCCAGCCCTGAAGGGCCCCCATGTGGTTAGAGAGTGCCACTAGGCCAGCTGGTCAGTGTCCCCAAGCATCCCACTCACTGCCCAGGTGTGCTCTGAGCCCTGCTTTCAAGTTGCAGTTCCAAACCAGAGAGCACTCAGGACTCACCTCTGGGTTTCCTGACCATTTTCCGAGCCCCTAGAAACACACCAGCCTCCTGAGGGTGGAAAGTGACAGCCTGTGTGGCCGAGAGAACATCTCCCTTCTTCCCAAGGGCTTACTGGCTCCATCTGAGGACCCGAGCTCAGGCGGCTGCTGCTCTGTGAGCTGTGACCATGCTGACCCCAAAGACAGGGTCATGGTATCCAAGTACTGCCAGGGCTTCAGTGGCCCTACCCGCCTAGGTCTGTGTCTACCTGAAGTTGGCTTCCTCCCCTGCTGGCCTAGGGCGGCTCACAGGTCCTTTGGTGGCTAACAACACAGACAGAAACCCCTGCGGGGGGGGGATCAGGCCCTTCCCCCCCCACCCCCCCGTGGGCACCAGCCACCAAAGGCCTTAAGGAACCTGTTTTCTTCCGGTCCACCTGGAGAGGAAGGCAGTCTTTGTCACTAGACTGTTAAAATCTTGTCTCTTGCCCAAAAGCTTGAAGTAGGTTCTCAGGATGTTTCCCAGCCCCCATTGCCCGTTCCTCCCACTCTGTCCCTTGCATACTGAGTCAGGCTGGTTCATCCAGTTGTCCCATCTTCCCCAGCACACCTGTGAGCTGCCCATGTGCTCACCCATGGGTGGTGCGGCATTGATGATCCACTGCACTGACTGGCCCTGCATGCTCGTCCCACATCATGAGAGCCTGGCTCAGGGATGCTCCCCGACTTGTCTGAAGTTACACCAGACAGGCCGCTGTGTATCCCAAGAGAATGTGGCTCTGGTCAGAGGAGAGACATAAAGTGACATGTCTCCAACCCTCAAGATGCAGAGACAGACAGACCATTCACCTGGTGTCACTTTGTTCCAGAAAACTTATCATTCAGAGAGGCACAAAGGAGAAAATAAAGATCATTTGAATTCCTGACACCCAAAGCCACCAACTTGGTTATCTCTGTCTTGGGATGTCTGGTTGGCCCATCTTTATGGCATGTATATTACAAAAGCCAGGTACATAATCTTGGCTTCACAAGGTCTCTGTTGTCACTAATCAACGCTACCACTGCATTGTGAAAACCTCCATAGAGAGTGCCTACATGAACAGGCATGGCTAGGTGCCAATAGAACTTTATTTACAAAGCTGGGCAGTAAGCAGATTCAGCCCATGGACTATAGTTTGCCAGTTCCTGGGGTCTCCAGTGATAGAATACATGTATTTTAGGCTGGGCACAGTGGCTCATGTCTGTAATCCCAGCACTTTGGGAGACCGAGGCAGGGAGATTAATTGGGGCCCAGAGTTTGAGACTAGCCTGGCTACATAGCAAGACCCCATCTCTACAATAAATAAAACAATTAGCCGGGCATGGTGGCATGCATCTATAGTCCCAGCTGCACTTGGGAGGCTGAGATAGGAGGATTACTTGAGCCCAGGAGTTCGAGGCTGCAGTGAGCTATGATCGCACCACTGCACTCCAGCCTCGGTGGCAGAGTGAAACCTTGTCTCTAAAAAGTAATTAATTAATTTTTTTTTTTTTTTTTTTTTTAGTCAGAGACTTGCTCTGTCTCCCGGGCTGCAGTGCAGTGGCACAGTCACCACAGCCTCAACCTAATAGACTCAGGCCTCCCACCTTAGCCTCTGGAATAGCTGGGGCTACAGGCGTGTACCACCACACTTGGCTAATTTTTTAATTTTTTTGTAGAGACAAGGTGTTGCTGCATTGCCCAGGGTGATCTCAAACTCCTGAGCTCAAGTGATCCTCCCACCTCGGCCTCTCACAGTGCTAGGATCACAGGCATGAGCCACTGCCCCCATCCTAATTCGCTTTTTAAAAAAAGAATCCATGTAGTTTAAAACACTGTTATTTGTACTTTTCATATTCCTTTAAAACCTGTTTTTTTGTTCCAATTCATCATGGCATGAACCTGTCTCCCATCTCAGCACGTCTGTTCTGCAGCAGTGGGTAGGGGGAGGTTATCTGTTTGTTTTTTGAGTCAGAGTCTCACTCTATCACCCAAGCTGGAGTATAGTGGGAGTAGGTGGGACTACAAGTGCACACCACCATACCTGGCTAATTTTCTAATGTTCTTTTTAGAGATGAGGTCTCACTGTGTTGCCCAGGCTGGTCTCCAACTCCTAGACTCAAGCAGTCCTCCCACCTCAGCCTCCCAAGGTGCTGGGATTACAGACGTGAGCCACCACTGCCCGGCCAGCAGCATCGTGCTATACAGTTGCCTGCCCTTTTTTGTATCTTAGGCCGGGCACAGTAGCTCACGTCTGTAATCCCAGCACTTTGGGAGGTGGAGGTAGAAGGATCGACTGGGGCCCCATCGTGTATTTTTGTTTCCTCTATCTTTTGTTGTCAGGCACATCAGGTTTTTCTAGAAGAAACAACAGAATATTTGCTTGCACTGTCAGGTGAATTTCCTCAGAAGTTTTAGGCGGTGGGCTTCCTGGATCAAACCAGAGGGTTGACAAGCAGAGCTCCACATGACTGACTCTAGAATAATTTATTTTGGAGGGAACAGCAGTATCACACTAGAGGTTCAGGCGCCAGGGATTTGAAATGGGAAAACAAACCAGGAATGTCTGGGGCTGTTCCTCCTATGGTGATCTGGGGAAAACTGGTGTGTTCTAACCAGAGTATCAGTTTGCTCGGGGAGCCACAGCAAAGACCCATGGACTAAGTGGCTTAGGCCCCAGAAATGGATTGTCTCACCTTTCTAGAGGCTGAAGTCCAAGGTCAAGGTGTCGACTGGGTTGGTGCTCCCAGGCCTCTCTCCTTAGCTTGCAGGTGGCTGCCTTCTGTGTCCTCATAAGGTCTTTCCCCTGTGCATGTCCGTGTCCTAATCTCCTCTTATAAGGACCCCAGTCAGATTACATTAGAGCCCATTCTGGTGACTTCGTTTTACCTTGGCACACTCAGAGGTGCTGGGTGTCAGGACTTCAACATATCAATTTGGGAAACTCAATTCAACCCACAACAGCCAGTTAAAATGTGCATTTTGCTGGTCCATTGTAGCATACATTACCTCTCTCTCTCTTTGAATTGAAGTCTCACTTTGTCACCCAGGCTGAAGTGCAGTGGCACGCTCACGGCCACCACAGCCTCGACCTGCTAGTCTCAGGCTCTCCTTCCACCTCAGCCTTCCTAGTAGATGGAACTACAGGCATGCAACACCATGCTCAGCTAATTTTTTATTTATTGTAGAGACGAGGTCTCACCAAGTTGCCCAGCCTGGTCTCAAACCCCTAGGCACAGGTAATCCTCTCACTTCCACCTTCCAAAATGCTGGGATTATGGGCATGAGCCACCATGCCCAGCTAGCATTCTCTCTTGAAGGATGCACGACAGAAGAGAAATACCCATTGCCTCCAGGTGGCCTGTGGCACAAGGAGAGAGGAAAGATCTGTTTGTTGTTATATACTGTTTTATCTTTTAAGTTTTGTAGTGTATACGTGCATTAGTGATTATTTTTTAAATGTTAAGCATATTGAATTGACACATTAAAAGGACACCAGGGACATGGTGGTTCACTTTGGGAGGCTGATGTGGGGGGATTGGTAAACCCAGGAGTTTGGGCAACACAGCAAAACCTTGTCTCTGCAACAAATCAGGTTAGCCGGTCGTGGTGACGCACACCTGTAGTCTCAGTTACTCAGGAGGCTTAGGCAGAAGGATTGCTGCACCCAGCTGGTCAAGCCTGGGTGACAGTGAAACCCTGACTCAAAAAAAAAAAAAGCATACTAGGATATATTACAGTCATGTGCTTTTTCCCCCAGATGATAAAATATTTCTGCTTTGGTTTTTTTGTTGTTTTGTTTTTGAGTTGGAGTATCACTCTGCTACTCAGGCTGTAGTGCCGTGGTACTCTCATGGCCACCACAGCCTCAAACTGCTGGGCTCAGGTGATCCTTCTGCTTCAGGCTTCCAAGTAGCTGAAACTACAGGCGCATGCCACCATGCCCAGCTAATTTTTTGACTTATGGTAGAGACACGGTCTTGCCAAGTTGCCCAGGCTGGTCAAACCCGTGGGCTCAGGCAATCCTCTTGCCTCAACTTTCCAAAGTGCTGGGATGGCAGGCGTGAGCCACCATGCCTGGCTAAATATTTCTGCTTTGAATTGTTTAGAAAGAAACAGGGTAGGCGACAGTGAGACTCCAACTCAAAAAAAAAGAAAGAAACAGGGTGGACAACATCCCCTCCTAGACCCCTCCCCCAAGTCTTGGGATCTTGCTGCTGTCCAGGTACAGCGGGTAAAAGGTGACATCCCCACCCTGTTTTACCCTTATAGGACTCGAAGCCACCTGTCATCTCTCTCCAGAAGCTCATCGTGAGGGAGGTGGCTAACGAGGAGAAAGCCATGTTTCTGATCAGCGCCTCCCTGCAAGGTCCCGAGATGTACGAGATCTACACCAGCTCCAAGGAGGACAGGAACGCTTGGATGGCCCATATCCGGAGGGCTGTGGAGAGGTGAGCAGTCCAGGTGCACTCCCCACTGGTGGGTGTACTCTCAGCTTTGATGGTCAGCCAGCCAGCTGTGACCCACATGCCCTCATCCCAGCTTGGGATGCAGGACGCCCTTCTGGCGCCTTCTAACACGGCTCAACCTGTCAGATGCTCCAAGGCCCAGATGTCTCTGGCCAGGGACTGGATCTGGACCCGCTTACCCATCAGCCACTGCTCTTCTTATCCATCGGCCATGAGGGCTGTCTGCGCACCCACAGTCTGGGGCCAGACTATTGGGGGCAGGGTGTGGCATCTTGTCCTTTCTCCTCAGGCTGAGTACCCCTGGAGACCCCAGCCCTGTCTTGATATCCTTCCCTCCCTCTCTTGATGTCTAGAGGCTTCCAGGCCTTCCCCTGCTCCACACTCTCTTGGGACTCTATAGGGCTCACAGCCTCCCCCTCGTGGCTGGCAGATCCCTGGCTAGCGTGCTATTCCCTGGACTCCTTCTCCAAGGCATGACCAGGCACTGAAAACTGCTGCCTGGTTTCTCTCTGAGGCTGGACACATGCCAGTAGGTCTCTTCTCCTCCCAAACCATTGACCAAAGCTAAGTCACTCTCAAAGCCAGGGATGATCTTGGCAGCTGGTTCTGCAGAGCTAGCATCTATGCCAGAGGCCGGCCAGACTGTGAGGCACCACTGCCCACCTGTCCTCTCTCCCTGCAGCTGCCCCGACGAGGAGGAAGTACCCTTCAGCGAGGCTGAAGAGGAGAAGAAGATGGTCAACGCCCGCACCCAGAGACTCAGGGACTTCCGAGGTGAGGGGAAGTCAGCCTGACAGCTGTATCCCATGTAGAGACAGCCCCACAGAGTTCTCCTCAGTCCTGGGCCCCCCTTTGGAACTGGCCATGGAGACGACCACGACCCCAGTGCCTGGCGTTTCCTGCAGGCTGTCCTGTGTCCTGAAGCTCTGAGAGTGGTTAGAATGGGGCTGCATCACAAGGAGGCACTCCCAGGAGGCCGCGTGGCCCGTCTGAGTGGTGGGGAAGGGAAGGGAGTCGTGCTTGGGGCCTGAGCCCTTTCCTGACCGACCTCGTTCAAGCAGAGGCTCAAGGTGGGGGGTCCCAGGTCCTGTTCAGAGGCGACCCCATGGGGACCCCGGAGTAGCATGGGGCCCCCACAGCGTTTTCCAGAGCGAGCCAGACCCAGACCAGCCTGGCTGCATGACCAGAGCCTCCCTGCATCTCAGCTGCCTCTTCCCTGTTTGTGTACCTGCTTTATTGAGGTAGAATTCACTTACCCTATAATTCACCCACTTCGTTGTTCAGGTCAGCAGCTTTTAGTGAAGTCACAATCATGCAGCATCACATCAATTTTAGAACATTTCCGTCACCCCAGAACAAACCCCGTCCCCAGGAGCAGTCACACCTCCTCCCTTCCCCAGCCCTTGGCACCACAAATTCCTTCCATCTCTGGATTTGCAAGTTCTGGACATTTCGTTTGTATAAATGAATCTGATGCCTGGCTTCTTTCCTAGCACCGTGTTCTCTGTTCCATCCACATGGTAGCCTGTGTCAGAGCACTATCCCTTTCCATGGCTGAGCCATATCTAGTATATGGGTGGACCACTTAGGGCTGATCCATTCTCCTCCCTGTCCTATGAGAGTTCCCTGAGGTAAAAATCAGTAACAATTCCTAGTACCTTGTGTCAGGAGCATACTCCCTCCTTCCCTTTCACTGACTGGGTTGTTTATTTTTAAATTAGGTAACCTTTATTTTAGAGTTGGAGTCTCACTCTGTCACCCAGGCTGTCACCCAGGCTGTCACCTAGGCTGAAGTGCAGTGGTATACTCACAGCCACCCCAGCATCAATCTGCTGGGCTGAGACGATCCTTCCGCCTCAGCCTTCCAAGTAGCCAGAACTACAGGCATGCACTAACATGCCTGGCTAATTTTTTATTTATTGTAGAGATGAGGTCTTGCCAAGTTGCCCAGGCTGGTCTTGAGCCCACGAGCTCGCCTTAGCCTCCCAAAGTGCTGGGATTACAGGCTGAGCCACTGAGCTCAGCTCAAAATTAGGTAATCTTTAAATAATAAGTGCATAAAATTAAATAGTATACATTGTATTTCTCTTTGCTTTGGCTTAAGGAGTCTCTCTCTCTCTCTTTTTTTTTTTTTTTTTTTTTTTGAGTTGGAGTCTCACTCAGTCGCCCAGACTGGAGTGCAGAGGCCGCTCCCGGCCACTGCAGCCTCGACCTGCTGGGCTCCAGCGATCCTTCCGCCTCAGCCTTCCGAGTAGCCGGAATTACAGGTATGCGCTACCATGCCCGACTGATTTTTTGATTTTTTGTAGAGATGAGGTCTTGCTGCCCAGGCGGGTCTCGAACCCGCGGGCTCAGGCAATCCACTCACCTCAGCCTCCCAAAGGCACAGGATTACAGGCTGAGCTACCGAGCCCGGCTTCTTTCTTTTTTAATAAGTGTAAATTGGAGCATATTAATTAATTAAAATGTCCAAGAGAGGCAGTTTTTCTCACCCATGCCAGTTCTGGCATATCTCCTTCCTCTCTTCTTTCTCTAATAAACTTTGTTTTAAAACTTGGATAAAAAATAGCCAGGTGTGGTAGCTCACGCCTGTAATCCCAGCACTTTGGGAGGCAGAGGCAAGAGGATTGCCTGAGGCCAGGGGTTCAAGACCAGCCTGGGCAACTTGGAGAGACCTCATCTCTACAATAAATCAAA